CCTCTCCGGGTGAGGAAGGGTCCCTCTTCGTCTTCGGCAGCAGGCCAGGCTGCCGACGTCCACCGCAGGGTCTGCGTGTGTCACCGGCAGCGCCGCACGGCCGCGTCGTGCGTGAGGGAGCAAGGCTACGTGTCTGGGAAGCCTCGTCTCGCAAGAGCTGTAAGACACCCACGTGTTCTCTTAGGTGGAGGACAGCCAAGCGGCCCGAGTTACTGAAGAGGAAGGGAGGAGAGATGGGGAAAGAAGCGTCTGAACTGTCAAATTCTCCCACCAGCCCCAAGAGCAAGACCTGTGGTGAGTCCTGGCACCCTTGGGGCCCTGTCGCCCTTCTAGTGCATTCTGGTCCCTCCCGGTCCCTCCCCTGGCCCCCTCTCTTTCCCACACTGCTGCAAATTTTTCAGTTTTTTCCTCCCCTGTACCTCTCCTCTTCTCTCTATTCTTGTGTCTTGGTCTCTCTCCCACTTTTTTGTCATCCTCTGTCTCTGTCCTGCAGCCCATCGCTTTTTTTTCCTTTTCTATCTCTTTGTCCTGATCTGCATCCGTCTCTTATTTCTCCACAATTTCTCTGGCCTGTTCCCTGGCGTTCTTTTCCTCTCTGTGCCTGTACATGCCACTTTGTGTCCCTGCCTTCCTATCTCCTTCCTTCCTTCCTTCCTTCCTTCATTCCTTCCTTTTCTTTCTCTCTCTACCCCTTTGACTTGCTCACTGCCTATGACTATGAGCAAGAAAGACAAATTGAGATCCATTGCAATGGCCATCAAAGGCTGCATTTCATGTCTGAACCGCTTATTAAACTTTTAATAGATGTTATACACTTTTTACTTCAGTGTTTATTTTTGCTCTCATGCAGGTCAAAGTTAAGTCTGCTAAAATATAGCGTTGAGTGGCTGGAGTGCTGAGAAAGCTTATGAGCTGCAGTAGATTTTGAAGTGGATAGGAGAGGGGATAGAGTACGCTCTATGTTGTGGAAATTCTTGCAGCTCCATTGTTAGCTACAGGACTTGGCTAAATAGATATGTCTCAGTCTGAGTGCAGGAGTGCATTTGTCTCTGTTTATACACCTCTTTTTTTGCTAAACAAGTTAAAATCAGATAGCTACACACCAATGAAAAACAGAAAGGAATTACCATGAAGTTTTAGATATTCTTCTGTAATTTACACCTCACCAATTGCTATCTGTCTATGTCAGCATTGGGCTTGCAAAGCTCAGGCTCAAAACTAAAAGAGTTAACTGCGAGGCAGAGTGTTTGTTTTAATAGGAGTACTTTGCTCTGTTTTTTTTTTTTTTTTTTTTTTTTTTATGCAGTTCCTTCAGCCTCTACAAACCGTAGAATATATGTGTTACGAAATAACCTACATGAAAGTGGTAAGAAAGACCTTATGGAGTTCAGGTGGGACAGACCTGAAAGGGACAAAGGAGTATTAACGCATTTCAGGGTTTACTATCAACTACTGAGTCACAGTGGCACTGCTGACATTTTCACGGAGTGGAACATGAGCAATGTTAAATCCACCCTGATGCTCTTTTCTCTCAGGGATGTGCTTCCCAACCTGACAGTAAGGTTTCAGGTATGAAAAATTACTGAGCTTATCTCATGCTAGATGGTAGATGTTATCAGTGCAGCCTGATGCATTTACCTAGGAGATGGTATTGGGCTTGGGGCAAGAACTTGTGGTTTTGCCTTGTGGAACTGCTGATTCACTGACTCACCCTTGGATACCTGGCTTAACCTTTCTACGGATTGTATTGTTCACTAAGTAAGGTGGAAAACAATGCTGCAATATTATACAGGTTTGGTAAAGCCCAAAAGAAACTTTTCTAGAGGTTTCCCAAAGCCACTGCTAAAAGCTGCATGTTAAACACAGATTTGACTGAGCTGGTGGAAGGCAACAGGCCATTAAAACAGAGCCATAGATCAAGAGAATTTCCACCACTGGAGAAATGCACAGACTCAAATGGCTTCCATAAAAAGAGACTTCCGTATTAAAACTTGTAAAGAGGTCATGTTTTCATTGTGATAAAAGGTTTGGAACACACAGAAGGTGTGCTTGAAAGACAAGTTAAAAAACACGAGAGCGTGTAACAGACCAGGTACTGATGGGGGAGAACACTGTATTGGTTGCAACATCAACCAACAGCAGGAATTGGCAGCCTGGGGAAGGAGACAAGACTGACTGGTGTCCTATGAGCTCTAATTGATAGATGCAGCATGAATTGTCACTCTCTGGGCCACTGCTTAAAATTCTCTTCATAGCTATGGTCCAGCCCTGAATGTAGACTTTGAACTGACAGCACAGCCGCAGGTCAAACAGAGCACGTGCATATGTTCCTAGCTGAGCAGCCAGGGGATCTGGTTCTGGTTTTGTCATTAACTATGACTCTACAGGCTCTCAAATGCAGTCATTTATGCTGCTACTTAACATACGTAACAGTCTCCTGTCCCACAGGTACAAGCCTTCACCTCTGTGGGTCCAGGACCTTTGTCTGATATAGCAGAGACAAATTGATTCGGTATGGATGGCTTAGGTGCCATCTCATGGTTTGCGTGTAATAGCTGGTGAAATCGACAGTACAGGAACTTGGTAGTCTGATAAATAGCCTCTGACACTTTGTGTGACGTGTTCCACCCTACAGTAGACACCACAGAGGAAATAGTTACAGCTTCTGACATGAAATGATTAACACATTTCTTATCATTAGATTAAATTTCAGGAATTTCAAGCCTTTCCTCAAAACTATGCTAAATTAACTTTTCTAGGCAACCCCAGGGTAGTATGGAACAGCAGGTTTTGATGTGTAATCGGCATACTGCTAGAGATCATAGAATATTTCTAATTGGGCTGTGAAAGGTGACCAGGAGAGTTAGAGATCTACTAGGAATTATAGGCTATTAAGTGAGCAAATCTGTTTTTACTAGGCTTACATTTGTTAGGTAAGCATCCACAGTGCCATTGAAAAAATCTCAGGAGTTTGCATGTGATGACAAGAAGGCATCTCATTGTTTTATTTATTTGCTGTCACATACGACCAAATATAATTTATGCAGGACCATCATTTATTTTTATCTTGTACTTGCTTTCCTTATGAATGACTGCTATTGTCTAAAATATTTTTTGTAAATTCTGCTGTGCCCTTTTCCTTCCAGATCTTTTCCCTGTCCCAACTCTTATAAATGTTTCTGCCAACAAGTTGTTTCTTACTGACATAGACGATAATCATACCATATAGGAACTTTCAGCAAAGACAAATGTAAAGGACATCTGTTATACTGCTAATGATAACAAAGTGTACTATATCGTAGAAGATTCTCTTTTTCTTCTGAATATACAGACTACTTCAAAGTTTCGGGTATTCCTTTGGTCATTCCCTTGCTTGCAAGAATCTAGGAAAATACGTGGCCATTATTGTCATTATTTTGGGGCTAATTATGTTTTATAAGAAGTCAAACCTGCATGTTTGACACAAAAAAAAGCAGCATGATGAACAAAGCACATTTAATGGCAAAATACAGTGGGGAAAACAGAACTGGAAAGCCACAGTTTTCTTAATGACTGTCAGTTCCTATGAGACTTAATATGAAAGAGATTAGCTGGATAATTTTCCATTCTAGCAGTACAATAAAAAATATGTATAATATAATAAAATTTGGATTTCAATTTTTTTGTCATCAATAGCTATTAGAATAGGCCAGAGTATGCCATTGGTAAAGTTGTTCTATTAAACATGTATGGTTTTACTGACATCTGCTTTTTTGATAAGATATTTCAACAGACATTTAGTTTAAAATTCACACTATTAAATACCAGAAATTTATTTTTTGTATCAAATGTAATTTAATTTAATTTAATTCTAATTTCAAGAATATGGAAGCAACAATTGATATTTGTGAAACAATAGTTTTCATTTGTATAAAAATATTGGAATCTTCGTTCCATGGCATCTCTTTATACTTTGACTTCTACTTACCAAGTAGAAATTATTTCAGAACCAAATCTGATTTCATAATATCCTAACACCAGGTGGGAAATTTCTGCTTTCAAGCAGTTTTAGTAATGTTTTTATTTTTTTCTTAAGTTTTTCACAGATGCGTATCTTCACACTGCCACAGCCATCACAGTTGACTGGATTGTAAGACATCTCTTTGTTGCCCTGAAAACACCATGGAATGAAACTCAAATATTTGTTGTTGATCTTGAGCTCAAGATAATATCTCTAAAAGGCTTGAACATACAGTTGGGTAAAGCTAATCTAACTGTATCATCTCTTGTCATATCCTTTCTTAAGATAAGGCATATATTACTAATAACTTTTTAAAGCATATTTTAAACATGATTTTCATGAAATCATCAACTGTTAAGGACCAAAAAGGATTTTTATAGTATGTGAGTCTGCATTGTATAAATCTCAGAAATTTCTGGATGTAGTTCTACTTTTATACAAGTAATCTCTCTTTTTGCTGCCATTGTCTACAGGAGAGCATCACCTGTGAGCTGCCAGTGGCTCCTCTTGCACACAGATAATTTCTTGCTTTTTGTCCTGAGAGCAGTCACATCTTTCCCCTTAAGAAAACCTCTGTTTAAGATGAACCTCTCTCTGTCTTTCAAATGAAAGGGAAATAAGAGGTGCAGGCACTCTGACACTCTTCTTTTGGGGTCCAGACATGCTATACTTTGGAAGTTCTCATCCAACCATGCTATTTTTTTTTTCTCTTAACACTCAGATCTCTTAGCATCTGCAGCATCAAGAAAAAAGGCTCTCATCCTATGTGCATTTCTGAATATTATGAGCATATTCCTAAGGAGTCTATGGCAAAAAATAAGAAAAGCTGGCCTATGATCAGTAGATTTCAATTCTTTGCATGGGAATCCACATCTATATTGTAAAATTTGTATGACATACTGATTGGATACGGCTGAATACTGTTGGGATGCGGCAAGAATTCACACCGTTGCTTCTTTGTGTGGTAAACTGAGCCATCCTGCAGCAATGTACACCCTTTCAGTGGCGAAACATAAAGGTAGCATATGAAATGGGAGACTGGGTTGCTCCACTGAAATGGCATTTTTCAGTCTCAAGTTGAAATGAAACATGAAACTCAGAACAGGCTTCTCTAGTTGGGGCAAAACAAAACATCGGGATAAAAATAAAGTCCTAGACAAAAAAAAACCCCAAACAACCAAAAACCCACACCAGCTCCCAAACCCTGAGCATTTTAAATATGTGTTTGTATCAACATTCAGAGCTTTTCACAATTTGTTGAAAAATTTCCAACCAGCTGTAAACGTAATGTATATGTGTCCTGGCACTTATGTTCTTAATTTCATGAATGTAACTGCTAGTTTAAATTGTAATCAGATGCTGCTAGAGCCTCTTGAAGTGTGTACACTATTTCACACCTCTGAAGCTGGGTGAATTCCCTCTGTCTTTCCCTCCATTCTATAACAAAATGAAAGAAGCTTGGATTAATCTGTACTTTGCAACAAATAGTGAGCTAGAGGGAATGAAAAAAAAGGAAGACAACTTGGAAAAATTAATGCATTGTTCTTACCACAGAGTGTCACTCTTACTCCACATATGTTTTAGCTAGTGAAATGAGAAATTTGTCTTCTTTACTAGTCTAGCTTCTGCACATTTGATTTAAATAATCTGCAGTCTTGCTACTAGGGCATAAATTATAGTATATGTACCCATCATTCTGATATGTTGGGAACATAGATAGTGTAATGACTTCTTAACTCTTTACCTATCTGGACAGTTCAATAGGAAAAAAGAATTTTTAACTCAGTGTTGGGGCATGCCATATACCATTTCAAAGTCTGTGATCCCAAAGCTTCAAAGGAAGGGTGATTTTTCCAGAACAATTACTGAGTAACCAGCTGGCATGGGCATCAGACCAGCAACCCAGTTTCTTGCTTACACATCTCAGCCAGACCATGTATTTCTGAGTAAAATTGTAAAAGTTGGCAATAAATGCTTAGTTTCGGGTTTTCTTTCTTCAGACTTTTCTGTTCAGGAAAAGACTTTCCAATTGGAATAGTGCATGGGTATACTTTTTTTGTGCATGTCCAAGTAAGCATCATATTAAACTCACATCTGAGACCCTGATTAGGAAACTGAGAGAGCAGGAATTCAGTGATATGACTATAAATGTAGAGGTATAGGACAGCAGCTGGGTTTTTTTTGTCTGCTTGCGTGGTAGGATAGCCAAGGAGATACTAAAAAAGTCCCTCAAAATACTTTGAACTTGTCTGCAGCTCACTGACTATACAAGAATATGAGTTTTACATGTGTAGAGTCAGTCCTGTAAATGGATCATATTCATATGCTTATAACTTCTTTTCTTTCCTCAGTGACATTTCTTGACTTCTCTAAAAATAAAACAAAAAACCAAACAAACCTCTAGTGAGATCTGTACCTAAAAGGAGATTAATTTTTCTTTCTGTTTCAGTACCAGAGGGAGTTGATTCCATTAAGACAGTGGTTTTGTCTGACACCACCATCAACATACCTTGGAGTGAACCTTTGAAGCCAAATGGACCTCTAGAATCCATCCACTATCAAATCTCTGTCAATTTATTACCTTCTGTCCCAGTGACACCCTTGCAAAAAAGTGAATTTCCAAATGGGATGCTTGCGTGGTCTGTCAGTGGGCTCCAATCCGGAACAAACAATTTATTCAAGGTATAATTACAAGCAGTTTTACCTATTTGTTCACTAACCTGCAAATCTTTAGACTGCTCTTCTGTAAAGCTATATGTGTGTTTTTGAAAATATGAGTTCAAAACTTCGCAGACTTCTCTCAGTCCTTCAGTCTTAAGGAAAATTAAACATCACAGTTTATTCCTACATGGGTTGTTCAGATTAAATCCTTAGAGCTCAGATCTTTTCTATTTGGGGAGCACATCACAGATCTCAAGAGTAAATAGGAGTTTCTGCTGCAATCCTGCTGTTATTGCCTCAATACTTGATGCAACATGCTAAGAGAGGGTCAGATGATGGGTATCCCCTGTTCTCAAAGGAGGATGCCTGGAACTGTGAGCTGCTTGTGAAGGACTAGGTGAAGTGTAACAAGCAGGGCTATGTGAGTGTGAATGGGTCATGGCCAAAAGATAAAGGCTTTTCTCAGGAAAGCAACATACCCGAAACTTTCATAAAAGGGAAACCTCTATATATTATATCAAGAGCAGCCTCAGGCATTTTGCCAATTGCTGCTTTTCCTTTAATAAACAACTTTACATTTAGGAAAAAAAAAATTCCAAAAAGTATCTGATATATCCATAGAGATATAGGTGATCACTCACTTAATAGTTGACTGATTCTGTCTTGCAGCAGTCACATTTTAAATAGAAGTATATTATAAAATATGCATGCAAAGTTCGCAACAAGAACAATATATCAAAGTTGACCCTTTAACAAATGCAGAGGACTAACAATGACTTAAAAATGCAAGTAGGTGCTTGGCTATTTGGTAGCCTTTGAAGAAAATTTCTGTAGACGAGAATATTGAAGGGTGGTTGCAAACCCGCTGATTTTGGATTTCATTGAAATATGATGCTGTCAGTACAATAAAAGAAGTAGTTTCTTCCACTGTCACAGACAGAGTTTTTTCAACTACCATATTGAAACAGGAAATTTGTAGAAGCAGGAAATGTACGAATAGGCCAGCCCCATGATAGCTAGCAGAAACAGCAGAATAGGATATCCATCCATCAGCTGCTGCAGTTCATGTGGACTCCTATGTCAGCATCATGCAAAAACTTTGGTGGCTTGCATAGTTATGCTGGGCTGTGAACGGTGAGAATTGAGGGGCAAACACATCAGCCCCCCCGCCACCCCTGCTGTCAGACTCAGGCAGCAAGGCTTTTTGGACAGCCAGGGCAGAGGGAGCACCATCCTGAGGTAATGTCAGTATTACCTGCCTGAGCACGTGTGTCATTGCTGTAAGAATGAGCAGAAAAGAGTAACTTCACATGGGGGTGAAATCAAGAAGGTGGAGGAACCAAAGGAGTTCAAAGTAGCAAGGACTAAAAAGGCAGTTGGAAGGCTCTGTTAGTATGCTGAAGAAGAGGACAAAAGGAATAACAGGTTGCAGTATTTAGTGCTTTTTTTGCTTAGTTTTTAGGTACAGGAGTCCTGAGACTAGATATTTAACACAACTGCATGAAGCCAACAGTAGTGCAACAGGTTAAAGACTATTTATGTAGGTTGTATGTATTTAAGTCAGCAGCATCTGATGGCCTTAAACTACATAAGGAAATGGTTAAAAACAGTCTGTGAATGTTCACAATTATCTTCTGTAACTTTTGGAAGAGAGTAAGTCCCATAGAAAGAGCAAAAAGAGGTCATACTTAGCTTCAAAAAGGAAATTATTTTATATATATATAAAATATATATTTTTATATATATAATATATATTTTATGTATATATTATATATCTATATGTAGTGTAACTTCAGTACCTGAAGTTATTTTAAGGACATATACAGTTTTACTAGGACTATATTAGGACATATATAGGTATGATCAGGACTATATTAGAACAAAATGGTAAACAGTTGGTATACAAGCACCTAGATGATAACAGAGGAATAAAAATGTCCAATGTAGATTTGTAACAACAAAACATACTGCTTCTCCCTTTACAGATGAAGAGTTAAAAGGAAAACAGTAAATGATGTATCTGGACAGCCGGGCTCTCACCAGAGTGGCAGGAGACCCGCCAGGAGCCAGCATCTCAATCCATCCCACTCCTACCAGTTTGATGCCAGTGCCAGCAATAGGTGCCCAGAGCCTGGAGAGGGATCACAGGTCAGCAGGAGAGCACCTGAAGAGCAGCACAAAGGAATTCCAGCCACTCCAGCCAGTAAGTCAGCTTCATCGGGAGCCCAACCTAAATGCCTCTGTGCAAACGAACGTAGCATGGGGAATAAACAAGAGAAGTTAGAGACGTGTGCATGCCAGCAGGGCTATGATCTTATTGGCATCACGGAGACATGGTGGGATGGCTCCTATGACGGGAGTGTTGGAATGGAAGGATACAGGCAGGGGAGATAAGGAGGGCGTGTCACCCTCTGTGTCAGTGACAAGCTGGAGTGCATGGAGCTGCACCTGGGGATGGATGAGCAGACTGAGAGCTTATGGGTCAGGATTAAAGGGAAGGCAGGGAGAGGTGACATTATAGTGGGGGTCTGCTTGGTAGAGTACAATGGGATAAAGCCCTGGAGGGAAGATGGGCCCAAGAAGTCTGGTTAATATTCAAGGATCACCTCCTCCAAGCTCAGGATCAATGCATCCCAGCGAAGAGGAAGTCAGGAAAAAATGCCAGGAGGCCTGCAGGGATGAACAAGCTGCTCCTGGACAAACTCAAACGCAAAAAGGAAGCCTACAGAGGGTGGAAGCAAGGACAGGTAGCCTGGGAGGAATACAGAGAAATTGTCCGAGCAGCCAGGGATCAGGTTAGGGAAGCTAAAGCCCTGATAGATTTAAATCTGGCCAGGGATGTCAAGGGCAACAAGAAAAGCTTCCATAGGTATGTCGTTGATGAAAGGAATACTAGGGAAAATGTGGGCCCTCTCCAGAAGGAAATGGGAGACCTGGTTACCTGGGACATGGAGAAGGCTGAAGTACCCAACGACTCTTTTTCCTCAGTTTTCACTGGCAAGTACTCCAGCCACACCGTCCAAGTTGCAGAAGGCAAAGTCAGGGACTGGGAGAACAAATAACTCCCCACTATAGGAGAAGATCAGGTTCAAAACAATCTAAGGAACCTGAAGGTGCATAAGTCCATGGGACCTGATGAGATGCATCTGCAGGTCCTGAGGGAACTGGCGGATGAAGTGGGTAAGCCACTATCCATCACATTTGAGAAGTCGTGGCAGTCCGGTGAAGTTCCCACTGACTGGAAAGGGGGGAAAATAAACCCCATTTTTAAAAAGGGAAAAAAGGAAGACTTGAGGAATTACAGACAAGCCAGTCTCACTTCTGTGCCTGGCAAGATCATGGAGGAGGTTCTCCAGGAAATTCTGCTAAGGCACATGGAAAATAAGGAGGTGATTGGTGAAAGCCAGCATGGCTTCACTAAGGGCAAATCATGCCTGACAAATTTGGTGGCCTTCTGCGACAGGGTTACAGTGTTGGTGGATAAGGGAAGAGCAATGGACATCATCTACCTGGAGTTGTGTAAATCATTTGACACTGTCCCACATGACATCCTTGTCTCTAAATTAGAGAGACAAGGATTTGACAGATGGCCCACTCGGTGAATAAGGAATTGGCGGGATGGTCACACTGAAAGCGTTGTGGTCAATGGCTTGATGTCCAAGTGGAGAGCAGGAATGAGTGGTGTTCCTCAGGGATTGGTATTGGGACTGGCGCTGTTTAACATCTTTGTCGGTGACATGGACAATGGGATTGAGTGCACCCTCAGCAAGTTTACTGGCAACACCAAGCCATGTGGTGTGGTTGACACGCTGGAGGGAAGGAATGCCATCCAGAGAGACGTTAACAGGCTCGAGGGATGGGCCTGTGTGAACCTCATGAAGTTCAATAAGGCCAAGTGCAAGGTCCTGCACATGGGTCAGGGCAATCCCAAGCACAAATACAGGGTGGGCAAAGAGTGGATTAAGAGCAGCCCTGTGGAGAAGGAGTTGGGGGTGTTGGTTGATGAGAAGCTCAACATGACCCAGCAATGTGCATTTGCAGCCTAGAAAGCCATCTGTATCCTGGGCTGCATCAAAAGAAGTGTGACCAGCAAGTCAAGAGAGGTGATTCTCTCCCTCTACTCCACTCTCATGAGACCTCACCTGCAGTACTGCGTTCAGCTCTGGGGCCCCCAGCATAAGAAGGACATGGACCTGTTTGAGCGGATCCAGAGGAGGGCCATGAAGATGATCAGAGGGCTGGAGCACCTCTCCTATAAAGACAGGCTGAGAGAGTTGGGATTGTTCAGCCTGGAGAAGAGAAGGCTCCGGGGAGACCTTATAGCAGCCTTCCAGTACCTAAAGGGGGCCTGCAGAAAAGGTAGAGAGGGACTTTTTACAAGGGCACGTAGTGATAGGACAAGGGGTAATGGCTTTACACTGAGAGAGGATAGATTTAGATGAGATGTAAGGAAGAAGTTCTTCCCTGTGAAGGTGGCGAGGCACTGGAACAGGTTGCCCAGAGGTTGTGGCTGCCCCATCCCTGGCAGTGTTCAAGGCCAGGTTGGATGGGGCTTTGAGCAACCTGGTCCAGTGGAAGGTGTCCCTGGCCATGGCAGGGGGGTTGGACTAGATGATCTTTAAGGTCCCTTCCAACCCAACCATTCTATGATTCTATGATTCTATTATTTTCAAAAGCACCCAAGTAAACGTTGTCTGTAGAATGTGCACTGGGTGCATCACAAATACAGTCAGAGAGTGGTTTTCACAGTTCATACATGGTCTGGGAGAACATTCAGCTGTTGGCTGGAGGGGATCTGTTCTGGTCTTAATTTGATTTTGTGCTTTTGTTAATGATTTGGATGATATAACGGGGAATACATATATACACACATACCTGTATACCTATATGTATGTATGTAAGTATGCATACCCCAACATAAGTCATATTTGATTGTGGCTTAGTGGAAGGTGCTGTGCTAGGGCACCTCCTCACCTTGTGTTTTTGTGATTCTAAAACACTGCCTAGTGTGTGATGTGACATCTGCATGCCTGTGTAAGAGCATGTGGCATTTAAGAAAGGTCTAGAAAGAGAAGAGTCTTGGTAGAAAGATGAAACGACAAACTAAGAGTCTCTGAGGAAGGAGACTCTAGGCCATGAACTTCCAGCCCAAAGATATGTAACGCTGCAGCTGTGAGGCTCAAAATCTTTCTACACCTATAACTGTATTGCCTGAATATTGTCTTCTTTGAAAGCAGCTAGTCTTCCAAACACTTGGAGTTGCTAAAGGCACCTTTCCCACTGGTCTGGTACTGTACAATTCATCCATTTCCTTACTAGGTTCTTGCTTTTCATCCTGATGAGAACCGGTTTTCTGAAAGTGTCCCTGTTACTGCAAAATCTTTAGACTCCACCTGCACCTGTCAACATAGTTCCCAGAAATACCAGCTTCCAGCTAGAATGGAGAGCTCCTCTGCACATCAATGAAACCAGCTTCTGGTTTGAGCTGCGTAAGGTAAAAATACCCCTTAGTTTTTTTCCAGATCAAATTTAACCCACTCTGTCCTGGTGAGCAGGACAGGGTGGCAGGGTGTATATGAAGAGTCTCAGTGGATAATTTGGGCATGGTGACATCAGTCTTAATGGCTCAGAAGGGGCAGGATGGAGGCAGTGTTTGCCAGGAACAAGGAGGAGTGCAGCTGTAGCATTTAATACTCCATAGTGCCAAAGAACATCCTGGATGACCCTACCAGAATTCCTCCTGGGTCTCCTATTTCAGTAGAGTCCCCTCCCTCTTTCCTCACTGCCCTCCCCCAACCTGGCGTGTAGCTACAAATCCTACGTCTGCTCTGCACAAGAAAGAGAAGAAAAGGGTTTTCAGCATTAAATATCAGCTACAACCTAGTATCTGAATTTGATTTTGCTGTGGTAGAGGTTAGGAGAAAATGCTGGAGAGAAAAACAGGTCTGGTAGTTCAGGCTGTAGAGGTAAGTGCTGCAGTGACAGCAGCATGGATGGAAGCTTCAGATTTTAATTTCTGGACCACTGGACACAGAAAATGTCATGTGCTAAACTGGATCACGTAGATTCCTTAATATAGATAATCGGATTCATTAGGGCTACACCAAACATTTCCCTGCCCTAAAACAAATGTCATAGCACAATTCCACTAAACCGCCTCCGTTCAATTGCATCATGGCAAGCTGAACTCATGGGCACATCATGGTGATCCAGAAATACAAGCTGCGCAGAGATAAGCAAGGGGAAGGCTCCTTTTGGCTGTGCAAAGGGGTCACTTAATCTGTTGTCCTTTGTGGCTGCCAAGACTTGTACGTCTCCTGAAAACAAAGGAAAAACCTAGGTTTTGTGTCCTTGGTCCCTAAGAGGATGAAGTCCTGTGACTGAAACAGCATGTGTGTAATCTCTCCCCTACAATATTAAAAGGTGGCAAAGTAGTTAATCTACCAAGGAATAGAACTGTGACACAATTTCAGCAGAGCAAGAAGGTTGACCGCAATGATATTTTATTTTTCTAGTGGCAAACAAAAAGTTACTGGTTTTCTCCTGCAAGCACTATGTGCACAGCAGATCTTGTTCACACATGCAATCTCACAGGAACTCTTCCTTCAACTAACTACTTTGTAAAAGTAACAGTAGTTCATGTTACAGGAGTGAAAAGCACTTCCTCTTCAACAAGCTTTAAAGCTACAGGTAAGCACTTAATGTAGGGAAACAAGATTTTAAGACTATTTTCAGGACGTGAATATTCAAACACAGTATTTTGTAAAATTTAGCAGGCAATTTTCTTATACTAAGAGCCAATAGTTGTGTGTGTTTGAAGAATAAATAACACAATACCATATCTGCAAAAGTAATAGGGGGAAAGAAATGAGGTTCACTTCCAAGTGGAGCAGAGGAGAAGAGTGAGGGAAGCTGAAATGAAATACCTATACACATGTGAACTCATAACTACTGGGGAAAGGCTGCATATGAATGAAAACTGAAATTTGTCGATCGCAAAAAGAAGGCCAAAGATTCATTCTCCATGGGGATTATTGATATAGATCCTCCATCCTTTTGTATGTCTAAACATCCATGTGCACATGACTAAATTTTTTTCTGTGCCTGTTAGCCCTTTGTCTTGCTATAAACACATTTTAAGGGTTCTGTTTCTTCCCCTGTTTGGCCTAAGCTGGTGTTCCCAGTAAGCCAGGAGTTCCAAAAAGAGCAGAAGACACTAAAAACTGTACAGTGGGAAAAGGCTGATGACAATGGAAGAAACCTGACCTACTACATCTTAGAAAGCAGGTAAGCTACACGTGCAGGCACTCTTCCCATAGGGAGCAGCCCAGGACAAATGTGGGTGCGCAGGGGCTTTTGGTTTGACTCTGATGGGAAGAGTGAAATATCTATGGTGCAAAAGGCCCTTCTCATGGGTTCTTTTTCTTGAGTAAACTAAGTAGCCTTCATTTCCAGAAATTCCTAGAAAACTTGGAAGAAAATACATTTCCAGACCAACTCTGAAATATAGGGATATATTTGGATATAAGTTGGTGAATTAGAAGAAGATTTGGAGATGTTTTCAAATCGCAGATTTCAAGCATGTAGTATGTATTTTTGGCTAAAATGTATGTAGAACTATCTTAGTGTTCAGAGGACTCATGAAAAGGCCTTATATAGTTGCCAGAAAAAATCATAAGGTATTCCCACCAACATGGGATGACTAGATAATTTTTAAAGTGCTCTGTCATCAAATGCAGATTGCCTGGACTATATGTGTCATTAGGCATCTGTAGAATGCCAGTTCACACTTATTCCTACACTGGCTTTGGAAGGGCTGAATGGACAGGTTAGAGTATATTGCTGTGGGCAATGACTTTGAAACTTCCCATTTTTTGACCATGACTCTGGAGGGGTCTGTTTAAGGCAGTCAGTGCAAGGCTTAATTAATGTATTATTTAAAAATGAGGAGAGTCTATCTTCTGAGATATTCCTATGACACTGTTTGAAATCAGGATTGATGGAGGGAAGCAATCTTTTTAAACTCAGCTATTATTTCTTTTTCCTCAGTTAACTCTGTGCTTATGAAAGCTAAGGACTGAGAGCGCTGTGGAGCTGGGCATACTTTACCTATATAAGTTTTCACCCAGACATATTTTCCTGGTGCTGTAATCTTCCTCCATACAGTTCTGTGAGCATACAGCAGTGCTGACCTGCATGCTATGAGACCACAATAATTTTGATATGCCAACAGCCAGTTTGTACCTGGCTTGCTGTGGATGGGTAAAGAAAGGACAGTCCCTTGACCTGTGTCAGGGTTGTGCGTTACCCGCTGTATTCTCCAGGTTCCAGCTTCTTACTCATCTCTGGAATCATAATGCATCATTGAGGTGGTTTTTTTGTTTTTTGTTTTTTTGTTTTTTTTAATGAAATAGGCTTTTCTCCTGCAGTTTGAATGTGCACATGCTGATGTTTTTGACTGAATTTCACTTTGAGCCTCATGATCCTTTTACACCAGGTAGCAAAATGTTAGGTCAGTTGCATAGCATTCTAGAAAATATTTGCATAGCTCTTTGAAACAACTCCTGTTTTTCATATAGCTCTGGTAGGGATATGTACACACCAAGGACATGAATATATAGTTTTTCCATGTCTTTATGGTTTAGAAGTGTTTGACCTTTTTTCTGCATTGAAATGTGTTGGGAGAATGATTGACATGCTCATGAAGGTCATTTCACGTGAAATATTACAGTCTTGTGTGGCATGAAATGATATTTCAGATATGGCCTTTCAAGTTTAAATACATGGTCTTCTTTTGGTTGTTGAATAATCAGCTCTGAATTTATTGTGAGCAATCAATCTCAGTCCAATGGGGAAAGGAAGAAATATACCCAGCAGTCAGCAGATACTATGGGAAACTGGCTAGCTAAAGAATTGTGTCTTCACTGCCAATGACTTGCTTCCTGTTTAGTTTGTGAAACCTGATGCACAAGAGCCACTGAATTACTCTGGGCCCAGGAAAGCAAAAACCTCTAACAGGACACAAAAATAAATGCTTATTTTTTTCTGAAGGCTAAATAAGACGGTTTTGAAATCATGTCTGTGAGGCGTACACTGAAACAAGTGAAATACTGCTGGAGCTTTTATGTCTAAAATGTTCTAGCATTTCATTTCCAATGCCAAGCTAAAGATGTGTGATTCCTAGCATTGCTGAAATAGCATGGTACACTTTTCTGCTCTGTAGCCAAAACCCCACGACCAGCTTGAGCTTTCATGCAGGCAGAGAGATGTTGTGAAGGCCATGAAACTGAAGTGAAGAACGGGGAGGGGAAGCAGTAAACTGCCCTCACTGCGTTAATGACATACCTGTGCTATTTTGCTGTGCCCATTGCAGGAAGCAGTCTGACAACACCAGCAAAGTGAAGTCCTTGTGGGAGGTGGTTTACAACAGCTCCTGTGCCAGTATTTGCACATGGAAGGCCAAGAACTTAGAAGGAACTTTCCAGTTCAGAGTGGCAGCTGCAAATGTGCTGGGTCTCGGTGAATACAGTGACACAAGCAAGGATATCATTTTGGGTGAAGGTATGTTCTGTACTTTCTTACTCTGTTAATCAAGTTTTTTATTCAGAATAATCTTACCAATTTATGAAGAGACCTGCTATTTTAATAATGATGTTGCTGCACAGGTAATTGTCTAAGAGTTAATAGATGGTGGCATTTATATGGTGACCCCAGCTGGTAGTGCTCATCAGGCTCTTTTGCATGGAACAATGGGCCTGCATTTTGCTTCTGCTTATTTATACCTGTTTGTCTCTATGGCCCTGCAGTCTGCATTATGGTATGGTTCTTGAAATAAAGACAAGCTCCCACACTGAGTTAAGGATGTAAGGATTACTTCTTGCCTTCAGCCAGAATGTTAGATGTACATTCTGTGGGTGTTTTTGAAAATCCCACTCTTTCTCTTTCCGTGTGCACAGTAGGTCATCACCACAGGAATGGCCCAGAGCTGGGGGAGGAGAATTAGTCTGACTAAATGTAGATATCTGCATACAGCCTACAAGAGAGCTTTGTGCAGAGGAAGACATTTACACAGCAGGCAGCTCAAGGGTTCTGTTAAGGTTTGCTCAGCTCCATAGGATTGATACTGTTTGTACACACAGTCATTAACCAATTTTCCCCTTCTATTTAACAGATCCCATGATCTCCCCAGACACCATCATTGCCATTGCTGCTGTGATCGGAGTTGTTGTGCTGGGCTTGACTGTGGTCATACTATTTGGTTTTGTTATGTGGCTGAGTTTTTTGCATATCCTTGGTTCACCAGGCCTCAGTAAAAGGCAGTTCAGATGGCAGGAGATGATCAGCCTTCAGGTTTAGGGAAATGCTGAACAATCCCCAGGGTGGGGAGCTGGCAGGAGTTTGTATATTCTCATTCTTTGAGGCCCTAGAGATGGCTGGTTATATTTTCAGTATTAAGGACAAGATACCAATTCACTCCATCCTCAGGCATTTCTTGCTGTTGATTCCCTGCAGGGAGAGCACAGGAATGCTGATGGAACGCTGATGTTCCTGTGTATCCTTATAAAAACTTGTGCCTTATAATTCTAAAGTTGGGTACTGCATTTATTCACCAAAGGGTCCCATTTTTTTCCTCTTAAGCTTTGTTCCTGAAGAAAGGATGTAGAGATTACCCTGATACGTAGATGTCCACCTGTGATGGTCCTGCCTTCTCACTCTGCATCCTCTCCCTGGGATACAGCAGCAGCCCTTCAGGCTTGGGTCTTGCCACATACAGAAGTGGATGCTTGACTGATTTCTCAGCTCAAGAAGCAGCTGTCTGTATTTTCTGGGAAAAAGATGATGGCCAGATGGAAATGTCTTGCTTACATGAGTTGCTGGGGGGTCATGTTGAACAGAATAACAAAAAACCTGTAGCCTTTCAGCCTGCTCACGCACTGGGATGCTCTCAGAGTGAAATATCTGATGGTCTGCTTTTCTGTTCCAGTATGGCACCGAAGATGGAAATCCAGAAAACAGGCCTTGCCTGGACAGATAGTGTTTGTCAAGGAAGACAAAGAATTAGCTCAACTCAGGGGGACTGCTGAGACAGTGGGACTAGCCAATGCCTGTTATGCTGTAAGGTTTGTCCTTGCTACATGATAATGGTGGTGGTAACCTAAGTGTTATTACACTTTGCTTTCTGTTGAGTAGACTTTGAAGAAGGGTGCGACATACCACGAAAAGAGTGAATTCTTGAAGGAGGCACACTTAATGGGGTAGGGACAGCTTTGCCACTGGGCACCCTTCGAAGCCAGTATCATGTGAGGGTGGTGGCCTTCAAAGGAATGAAAGCAATGTGTTCCTCTAAACAAGTTACTGTGCCATTTTTGGGGTGTTCTCCTGTTTCTGTTAAAAAATTAAATCACTACTGATGAATTTTATGAAAATAAAGCTATAAAACTAATTAGCAAAATTTAAGATACAGACTGCAAGTTCAGTATGCTCATATCATGGATTTACTGGGGTTTGGATTGATATATTTCAGTACCTTTGCTCCCCTAAAACTAAGTTAGTTGTTAAAGGCAATTGGGCAACGTTTGGCTAATCCCATTTTACCAAAATAAACATATCAAAACAAGCTGATGCCTTGAAGTTTCAATTTACTGTGGAAATTGTTTTTTAAAAATGTGCATACTTACCACTAGAGGCTGCCACATACCTCTTCTATTGAGGTAGACTTAAAAAAATAATGCATCTGTCACCAGTGCAAGAATTTCACATAGTAAGGTCTGTGTGTCAGCTAGAAGGCTGGTTTTCCAGAGTGTCCGCACAAACAAGTAAAGTTCAGCTAAGTTTTCAGCTGGTAACATAAGACTGAGAGTGTGGTTTAGTTTTCAGATGCACTTCTGCACTTCTCTGACTTTTATTTCATGAGTCCAGAAATAGAACCATCTTTTGAAAAATGAAGGATTTTATATCCTGTACGGAAAACAGTGTTATTAAATTTGAAATTGGTTTTCACAGCATTCCTTTTTGTGTTTACATGTTTTTAAGAAAATATCTTGCATTTTTTGCCTAACTTCTTCCACACACTGTACATTGAATGAGGTAAGAGGCTTGTGAAAACCAAAATGAAACCATGTCACTAAAGTGTAAATTAAGGACAAAGAGTAAATGTGTGTAAACTTCCTACAATCTATCTTCAGTCTACCTAGCAGTTATAAACCCAGTTAAGGTCTCTTTTCTGTGTAGTATGAAGCTTCTCCAATACTGCTTTCTTGTTGCAGCTAATAATCCAAACCCAGAAATCCTAGAAAAATATATAATTGGAAATTATTACATTTAAATGTAAACGCTAATGTGGGCCCATATGTACACCAATACAATGAGACATAGAAACGAAGAGAATAGAAAAGTTTAAATATTATCTATTCCCAGTAGTCATTAAACAATGATAAAAAAAATTGGTATGTGTTATATGCTTTAAATCTTTCATTTTTTTAACATGAAAATAGAATGGTTTTGTTCCCTCATGGAGAGCTTAATGATTTTTCTTGATGTTCATCTGTAAGGTCTCATAAATGAAACCAAGTGCAGAAAGGAAAAATAAGTGGACCAGATTGTTTACAAACCTTGATGTTAGGTATTTAAATGCAACTTTTATTTTGCTTGCCTTTTTGGATGTTCATTAAAATTTGGATTGTAATGTTATGCATACTGTCCCAGTTAAGCAAAGACTATTTCTTTCTTCTATTATTGGTGTGCAGCAATGGGGAAATTCGGTTGCTTGTATTTCAAAAAGTCGTCTGATATTGGTTATTGATAAGTCATTTGTGTACTAATACATGTAGCAAATTCTTGAGAGTATCCCATCATTTGGGAAGTAAGGAATGACAGGTCAGTGGAGAAAAGGCTGCATGAGCTGTAAGGGAAGTGCCAGGTGCTCCTTCTCCTCTTTTTGTTCTTGAGAGTGCCAAAGTGTGTCTGATTGAGAGGTATGTGCTACGGGCAAGGGGGAACTGTCAAATTCAAAACCACACTTCTGCTGGACTCTTTGCCCACACATAAGATTATGTGAACTGAAAGAGTTTAGAAGGAAAATGGCCCTCTGTTTTATTTGTTTGTTTACACTAGTGCATTTGACAGCATTTTGGACACCACCAGTTCCCCCAATAGAGTCAAGTTTCTCTGACTGCTGGTGCAAGTCCTTTCACACAGCAGTGTGAAGAGAAAACCATTTTCTCACAAAGAAATGTGATTGTAAAAACACGGGCACTGACAGAGGCAATAAATATTCTTCATTCTTTGAAAAGTGCTAGATCTGAGAGTACTGATTGCTCTGTGGTAATCCCTATCTTTTTGGACACACACAGGCAATTAATAGCATATCTGCAAGTATTCCTCGTGTGTATTTTGTTTCTCTTGAAAATGTACTGTGAGAAACAGTTCGCCTCTGAATTGTGACAATATCATGTTGCACCTTGTGCTTTTACCTTTCTCTGTGCATTTCTCTGAATCAGCAGTTCTACTGTGAGTATAGTAGTAAAAATACTCTATTAAAATCACAGAGATACCTTTAATGTACAGGTGGCAATTCATGTTATTCCTAGAGGAGATTGACATTTGGCTACCTTTCTTTGCTTCCTGGAAATATGATGAAGTGTGCTTTTAATACACATGCATGCATTAGAGTGCCTATCAAAGTAGAAGTGTAAGCCTGTGTTTTGAAAGGATGTCCCTGAACTCTCCCCATGACTGAGCAGATCCAGGCCCTGTAAGTTGCTAAATCATGTTGTTGGTAGAGGCAGGATTGTAAAGGCCAAACTGCTCATTCATTGCTTGCAGCTATATGCACTTTAAAAGCTATCAACCAGCTGGATTTCTCATATGTAAGCTTACAGTTGTTTCCTTCTCTTTAGTAAATTTGATCAGCCCCACATTCTGAAGTTACTTGGCGTGTGCCTGTTAAATGAACCTCAGTACCTTGTACTGGCGCTGATGGAAGGAGGGCATCTACTTAGCTATTTATGAGGAGCCAGAAAGCAAAAGGTAGGGTAAAGACCATGAGACTTATATTTTTAACCTGTAGCTGCCCACAGCTTCTCAGTTTTTCCATTTCTCAAAGGCCATGCTGATGTTCAGCTGTTTCTGTACCTGCAAGGTCTGGCCTGGCTTTTCCCTAATGCCCTGTAACCTCAGTGTTGCATGCTGACCTTGCATTCAGGGTTGCTGTGAAGAGGATTGAATGTCATTAGACCACTGACCAAAACTGTGTTTTCAGTTGTGAGAAGTCTGCTGAATTTCTCTCTATGAATACCGTGAACAGTCCTTTGAAAAGTGATCATAAATAATGGTGGTCATGTATCTGATCTATTAGGCTGCATAGGGTTGTGGGGTTTTTTTTGTCTTTCAGTAGCAGCAGTATCTTTAATGTGCTAGGTATAGTCCAGGCATATAAGAAAATACTCTGTCCCTGTGCCTGTGTCCTCAAATTCTTTAGAAGGAAAGAGGAGGAAAGAATAAACTTCTTTAATTAATTAATTATTTTTTCCATAGTTAGCATGGAGAAAGAATATGGATGATAGGATTGTAGGTCAAAAGGATTTGACACTGAAATTTTATAGCATTATAGCAATTGTCTAGTTCATTTACATGATCAGATCAAATCCACAGTCAGTATTGAATTCTACTGAAATGTATATACATGTATTCTACTAGAATAATATATTACACCAATAAATACAGCAGCAAACAACCTGATCTGGTAGTGGGAGGAGATTTTCAGGGTCCCATTTCTTCCACTGTAGTGACGAAACAATTCTGAAAGTCCCAGGATATTCTTAGCCCCAAATCAAAGAACAGGATGTGTTCACCTGCCTTGCAGTGCAGTGATTTGGCAGATTACCCTGCCGGTAATTAGCATTCACTCTATTGACATACAGAGATTTTGCACCTGTGCTTTGCAAGTTTTGGAAAAATCCTATGCATTTCAAATGAGGAAACAATACTATCTTTGCATAGGGAGGTTGTCATTCTGTGTTTGTAAAGCTGGAAGACATGGGTAACTTCTGTCTTTGTTTCTTGTAGCTCCAGAGTCCCTTACTGACAGTGACTGGCCTCTTGGATATAAGTTTGGGTATTTGCAAAGGCTGTGTCTATTTAGAGAAAATGTATTTTATGCACAGGTAGAGAACTTATTTCCTTAGTCTTCCAAGGTTTATCCACAATATCAAGCCTAATTATCTTCCCTGGGAAAAAATGCCTAGAAAGATGTCACAATGTAACAGGGAAGGCGAGAGCACTGGAGTAAAATCTAATGTTAAGCTTTTCTGCTAAAAAACACCTACAGTTCTCTCACAAAATGGTGGGCTACTCTAAGATCTGAATTCAGGACTCATTGCACCCCAGGCAAGAATCATATTGTGTGAGAAGGGCAAGTGGGGAGATCCATTTACTGTCTTCATCTGCCTAATGGGTAGCTATAGAGGACACAGAGCCAGACTTTTCTCAGAAGTGCACAGGGAAGAGATGAGAAGCAAGAGGCACAAGTTACAGCAAGGGAAATTAGATAATATTGTTCACAACGTGCAGGATCAATCACTGGAACAGGTTGTCCAGACGGGCTGTGTCATCTCCAGCCTTGAAGATATGCAAAACTTAACTGGATGAGGGCCTAAGCCACTTGATCTGGCCTCGAGGTCAGCACTGCTCTGAACCCTTTGGTTGAAACAGATGACCTCCAGAGGTCCCTTCTGACCTGAGTTACTCTGCAATGCTAACTCCATCCTCTTGTTTCTGCCTTACAAAGCAGGGAGCTGGCTGCTCGCAACTGCCTTGTGTCTGAGAAGGAATATGAGAGCTCTTCCTGGGTAGTAAAGATTGGTGATTTTGGACTTGCCAGAGATAGCTATAAAACTTATTATTACAGGAAAAGAGGAGAAGGCCTACTCCCTGTCAGATGGATGGCTCCTAAAAGCCTCATTGATGGTGTCTTTACAAACTGCTTTGATGTCTGGTGAGTTATAGCAGCCACACAGCTGTGGGAATAATCATACTAAATCCCACAGCAAGAAAATACTGGTTTACAGGAGGAATGATAAGGTTGCATATTGCCATCTCTAATATTTAGGCTAAGGCAGATTTCCTCCTAAGCGATATTTTAATGAGCTAGTGAAAAGTTTGGCACCACGACAGTACCTGCATGGATATATTTCTTAATGCTTTGAGCTCTACCTTTGGATTCTGGCTGGAAAGAACTAGTATCACTCAATGAAAAAATTTTGTACTAGGCCCGCAATGTGTTTTTTCCTTGATTGGGCAGTGAATTGACTGCCTGCATGCTGTTCCATTTTGTTTTCCATTAGGTTAATTGGCATTTCCTTCCTACAGCCAAATACTTTCCCCTTACTGTTTCACCCTCTTCTGATGACTTTTTTATTCTGAAGCCCAAATTTCTCAGCATCATCAGGGGAAGGTCATAATACTTTGCTGTGGAAGTTTACTTAAAGCGTGTATTTGGGTGGGTTTGAATTTATGGTGAAGAAGCAGAGGCCTGCTGTCAGGAGGCATGGAAAAAAGCAAACAAAACCAGATCCGTTAAACCTGAGATTCACACAAGTTTGGATTTCATTAGCCATAGGTACTCACGGTGGGCTATAGCCCACCAATCTTGTCCAAGTCCTCAGCCCGTGCAGCCCATCCATTTGACTGCCACTCTTACATTTATCTAAGCAAGTCATTTAGTGCTCTGTGCCAAACCAAATGAAGTGGTGATTGCTTTGTGAGTGGTGCTTAGGAGAACTTGTATCTCTCCATTTCCAGTGACACCTCTAGAGATTTCTAAACACTTGTTTAAGTGAGGACATACTCAACCAGACAGTGTTGTCCAGGAAAGCTGTGGGTGCTCAGTGTCTTCTAAGCTGCATCTCGGTGAGTCTGGGAAAGTGTGTCAGTTCTTCACATTTATTTTAGCTATTCCAGAGGCTGGCTTTAGGACATATGAATTGTTTCACAAAAAATTTAAACTCTTACTCCTAATTTTTCTGAGTCTTATTCTTAGGTTAGAGACATTTTAACTGTTGATAGGGACATTGTTCATGATGACTATGGTAATTACATTTTTTTGTTGGTGTTTCTTAGGGCTTTTGGAGTCTTAATGTGGGAAACATTAACTTCGGGTCAACAACCATATCCAGGTTTCTCCAATACAGAAATTTTACACCATGTACAATCAGGAGGAAGGCTGGAATCTCCAAACAATTGTCCTGATGACCTGTAAGTTAATTTTGCTTAAATGTTGTTGATAATATTTATAAGAAGCAAGAGGCTTACTGTGAGGTAGCTGTCATTTTGAATGTTACTTATGCCCATGCAGAGTTCAACATCCTCTATTTTTTTTCAGCTAAAACAGCTAGCACTTGTAGCTCCCAACCTGCTACTAATTCATCCAGTAGTGCAGCCTGTGAGTAAGAATTTAAGTGTTGAAGTTGAATGGTGGATATTGGTCTTTTAAACAGGTTTTCAGAGACAATATAAAGTCAGTCTTGGGCATGAATCTGGTAGTAATGTGATAACAGGCTGAGAGTGCCTGATGGTATTGGTTAAAAGTTAAAATGGATTTAAGAAAGAATTTACTGGGCCCTGTACACCATGTGCCTGCGATAGCAGATATAACTGGCTTTCTTAATGGTAGCTGCAGGAATTAGGCTAATATTAGAACATAGGTGGAAAACAAACCATGCTCTCTTTGCAGATATAACTCTTACAAAAGCCAATAAGAAAAGCTGAAGCAGTACAGCAAAAGGGAAGTCTGCACTTCTGGTTAGTCTTTAGCTGAGCTGGATAAACAAAGCTTTCAATTTCCATTTGTCTCTTGAGCACAAAATTCAGGTTTAATTGCAAAATTCTTGCAATTAAAAGAATAAAATGATTACATGTAGTGGATCAAACCCATACTGGCCAGAGGTATATAAAGGAGGAAGTTGAACCTGAGCCCAGCGATCACTCAGTATTGTCTAATTTCATGTCTCAATTCCTATATCACCCACTCTGCATAAGCAGTCACACAATGCACTTGACAGCTGGTCCTACAAATGAAAGGAGAGGCTACTTAAAAGTGCACGGTTCGTACTCATGGGGCTGAGGAAATGGCTTGAGAATAATTCTGTGATTGGCAAGCCCAGATCTCTGTGATAGATCTCGCATCAATTACCATGCTCTGAGTTCCAGAGGGGATGATTATTTATCATTATGTAGGTGTAGCTGAAACACCATATTAGCAATAGAAAAAGGTAAGCTTTAGCACTTGGTGGAACTGAAGAATTGAAGAGATTAGGATATTTTCTTTTTTAGAACAGAGTGAAAACTGGAAGTCACAGAACAAATGAGAGCCCAAAGCAATTTCCGTTTCAATATTTTCTGCTGAAAAAGGTTTCCTCAAAAAATTCCTGACAGCTGTCCTGTGAATAAAAAAGCATAGGAGGTAAGGTATATCCATGTACTAGTTTGATATTCAAGCTCACACAAAGGCTCATAAGTTGCCTTTAAAATGAGTGACCAGATCTTCAGAGGAATCAAGAAAACTTTGCTTGAAGTAATTTTTAAGGTCCCAGATCTTAAATTTAGCATAGCACCTGGGCTTAAACACTGGTCTGCCTGTTGTAACTTGTAGGATCAGGGCCTAATAGCAGTAATGTAGTTTTTGAAAGCCAAGGGGCTGAATGAGCTCTTAGAGTCTTGTACCATCTTTTATCTCATTTGGTGAACACTCAGCACCTGCATGCAGCTTCTGTCAGTAGCGTAAATAGCTTTTTGCTACTTTGCTAGGTCATTAATGGCATGCTGGGATTCTTGACATTCCTGCTTCCCTCCTTGTGGTTTTGAACCTGCATCAGGACATCAGCAGTCAGTAATTGTCTCCTCGGCACTTTGGCTTGCTCATTGTCATTTGACAAAACAAAACATCACTGATAGGAAGAGAGTTCAAAGGCCAAACTACTTCAGCTGAGAAGTGTTTAGGAATCTGTGGAAGGCTCACACTGCAAGGGCAAGTAGGGCTGACACAGAAACCTTGGGGTGTAAAAGCACAAAGGAAGTGGGATTGGTTTTTTTGGCAGGGGGGAGAAATTCTCCCCCTCGCCTCCACAAGATGTTGCTCCAGGGAGTAATCACCTGCTTTCCCCCAAAGAAGTGTGGGTAGGTAAAGCTTGGTAAATAATTGGAAAAGGGGGTTGGGAATCTATAAATGAGCCACATTTATTGAAATATGAATTAGATGTATGAATGGCACTACTTTTGCAGTCAGAGATCCACATGTGGCACAGCCACACCCAGGTGCAAGGCTTGCATGCAAGAGCATGCCAAGGTTTGGACTGAACTGAGATAATTTAAGATAGATCCTCTAAGGCTGTGGGTTACAGTCAGGAGAATTTGTACAAGCGTGGTGCCACTTGCTGACTTGCAGCTGCGGTTTCACCAAATGCTCACTCCCATGCAAAGTTACACAGCTGAGTTTGATGAAGAAACTTTACTTTGGTAACTAAGAGCTTTTCCTATTTGGCTCTGGGAACACCGCCGTGGAAGGATTTGGAGGGTGGGAGAGAAGAAGGGCTTGCTCAAGAATGCATCAAATGAAAGCAGGAGGTCTTCTTCATTCTCACAAATTTTGTCCTTTTCTAAGAAAATCCCTACATCGATTATATTTTCCATCTCGTGTGAGAGAAAATTGGTAATGCCCTGTAGCTTCTGTGCACTAAAGAGCATTTCAGGAGTTGTTCACTTTCAGCCTCAAATATTAGATACTGAATATTAATTCTTTGGTTTTCCAGGCTCTCGAATTCTTATTTGCCCCATGTATGCAGATCTGTTGTACATATGGTTACCAGTTGCCCCACCCAGATAAAACACAGTTGTGAAGTGTAGGTGTACATCTAGGTGTACAGGCTAGTTCTTAAACCTAACATAAACCTTTAGCTGATGTTGTGTTTGGATCTGATATCTTTCATCTCTTCTTGAAAGGCTATCCTCATGAAGTAGGGGAATCCTCTGAGTCTCCTCCTCATACTGAAGCGACGCACTATTTACTAGCCCATATTTGGCTCCAAAAAAATATAGGAATGTGCTCAAGCTGTCATTCATGTACATCTTGGCATATTAACCTGGCGCTCACCCTCTTTACTGGTCTCATGCTGATGCATTTCTGGGGTAGTGAAAGTTTATGCCATGTGACTTAAAACTTTGGATGTCACAACATGCCTTGAAATATGCCACAACATGCCACAAATAGCTATCTATGCAAAATTTGCAGATATATTCTGAGACAGCATGAAAATTTTTGTCATTAGAAACCTAAAGCCTGTCTGAATTAAATACTTTGTGAACAATATCAGTTCTACCTGGTATTAATATTTTAAGCCAACCAGCAAGTAATTTGATTTAGGAAATAAAAATATGGAATATAATTAAAACGAGAAAATTCCAGTTCTGAATGTTTTGGCAGCAGTGAATATCCCCACTCAATAACAAAACTGAATGCCTTTATAAAGCAGATTGTCCAATAAAAATCAGTTATTTAGAAAGACAGAGATTGGTCTTAGAAATACAAAAATATTCAGAATCCACATTTGTTGTGTTCTTGTTTCATAAATGAAAAGAGGGTAGATTTAGGTTGTATATAAGGAAGAAGTTCTTCACTGTGAGAGTTGTGAGACATTGGAACAGGTTGCCCAGAGAGGCTGTGGATGCCCCATCCCTGGCAGTGTTCAAGGCCAGGTTGGATGGGGCTTTGAGCAACCTGGTCCAGTGGAAGGTGTCCCTGGCCATGGCAGGGGGGTTGGACTAGATGATCTCTGAAGGTCCTTTCCAACCCAAACCATTCTATGATTCTATGTCTTATGTATCATTTTCCATTTATTTCTCCCTCTGTTGGCCTATGGCTGGCTGTTCCTTCCTTTCCATTAGAAGAGCAGTGTACACAGTCACCTCTTTTACTTCATTGCTACACCTTGCACAAGGCTCTGCTTATGAGAGCCCAAGTGCTAACCTGGTGGAGCACAGCACCTGAACTCACCTTTTTTTCTTGGATATCCTACCAACCAGCATGACCAGAAAGTAGATTGTTTGGCTTCCAGCATCCAATGCTAGCTTTGGAATTCAATGTGACAGACACTTTGCTGGCAGCAGGAGTTATTTCACCTCATCTTGAGTCTTATTCAGTACTTTTCCTTCTATATTTCCAGTGTCGTCAATAACCAGTACACCTGAAAGTAAGCAGATTAAGTGATTCAGAGCATTAGGAAATCACTACCACTTTTTAGATTCTTAAAATGGATTTTCAAGATTTCACTGGATTCTTTTGAAAAAAAAAACCAGAATCACTCTGTCCAGCTCCACAACCACATGATACAGGTCGATGAAAAGTGGTTCTAGTTTCTACTCATGTTTCTCACCCAAGGCCAATATTTTAATGAAAAATATCATAGAAAAATCAGAAGTCAAGAGATTTCTCTTACCTGTCACCAAGGGTTTTGTAAAATACTCAATTGTGGTGAAGGACAGCAATCTCCTTTTTAAGATGGGTAAGTGAGGATCTGAGCAAGCCAATTCATTTCACATAACTCAGTAACACGTGGTATCACATAGCAGCAGGTCTGGGAGGCTGTTTGTCAGGGGAGGATTTGAACCTAGGGCTTAGAGGTGAATATTCCACATTCCAGTAGCAGCTTCCTGAACCAGCCTTTCACTGGCTGCTCAAACGCTGCTCTCTGGTTTTGAGACTCTAAGACCTCTCCCCACTCCCAACACTTAGCATGTCCAGGTGCTGGCTGTGTTTTGGTTTTCAGCCTGGCTCCCCCTGGCTTTTGTAGGATTTGGTTTTGTGTAGCCTGGACTCACCTTGAGTAAGCAATACAAATCAGCCCTATCCTTTAGACAAACAGGAGGGGCGGTTTTCCACTGAATAGTACAGATAGTGTTGTGCAAGGTGGACTAGGATCCCTGCACCCAGAGGAAACTCATACCATTTTTGCCTTTGATGGGAAAACTTACTCCTATTTGTTTTGGTCTGGAGGCAGAAGTCTAAATTAACCCTCTCTGTGCTGGAGAGTTTGCCTTGAACTTCCCCTAAATTTGAGGTAGCATCAGTTGAAGGAGGGTTAAATGAGCTGATAGCTTCAGGTTCATTTCTGGTTTTAAACATCCTTTTTCTTCTGTGAGACAATTACCTCCTTGTCTGCTTTCTTAGAAAATATTGATGACTTCTTTGGTGACAACAGATGTTAATGGCAAATGTGTCTTTTTTTTTAATGTTATAGCTGCTCCCAATCTCATAAATATCCATCTTTGAAAAATTAAAAGCATTCATAATGAGTATTCCTGACAACTGATCTTTAATCTGCTTTTCCTTCCCTCAGCAGCTGATGATAATCTTTGTACTACATACAAAGTTTTCGGAAGTTGAAAATCTGGGCCAAACTTGCTTCTCAGATGATTTAATGGTTGAGATTAATGATTCTGTTATCTTTAATGTTTGCATTTTAACAATTTTTTTTCCAGATGTGATTTAATGACAAGATGCTGGGCCCAAGAACCTCGCAACAGACCTACTTTCTCTTATATTCAGAACAAACTGCAAGAGGTAAGACGCTCTCCGCTGTCCTTCATCCACTACCTTGAAGACAAAGAGACAGCAACTGGAGTCATCAGCCAAGGTTTTGAAGGTGAGTCGGGGCCAGCACCTGCTGTCCCCATGGCTTCTTCCCCATGAACAAAGTGGGATTCAGCAGTTCTTTTCATTGCCTTTGTCACTGCCTCAAATTCTCTGCCTATAAAATGGGAACAGCAATGATTTACCTCTCATAATGAACTTGTAAAGATTCATTAGGTGCCATTAGGTACAATGCATTAGGTAAAGCACATACAAGATTACCAAGCAAAAAGACCTCTATGAGGTTGCAATTGAGCCTGTCTCACAGAGGTATCCAGCTTGCATCTAAATTTTTGATACTTCATGACCCTGTTCCGCTAAAGTAAATGCTTAAGTTCCTTGTACAGCCAGGAGAGCTTTAGAAGGCTTCCAGATGGAAATCTGTTCCAATTTCAAAGGCATCTACTCCCTCTCCATCAGCTAAACCTGGCAGTTAAGCACTTACTTTAGGAGTACTGATTTAGTAGTTGCCTGAAAGTGAGGCATAAATTAGGTACCTAAGTAAAGCAGCCTTTATCCTAGCCCGAACTATGATAGCTCCAGCCGGGAGTCACATCATGCCTCTGCTCTGCACACTGTGAATGAATAGAACTAGGTGATGTTAGGGAAGATATACTTAAGACATGGGACACAACAAAGCCCAATTATGTAAGAACATTATTAAGGTTGTGAAGAGAGGAATTAAAAAAAAAGGTGATGCTAAATTTGATGTTGTCTGTGTAACTGTGATTCACATCATCTAAACATGGAAGTAAACATCCTGACTGGGTGAGAACAAGAAGGTTTTCACATCCTGCAGTAATTCCTGACTGGCTAAATCTTGACGAAAGGTGATGTCTTAGTAAACAATGTGATCTGAAAATCTGCAAAAAGAAAGTTTTTATCAGTTGAAATATTTCACTTTTATTTCAGAGAGTGTTGTTTGGGTTTTTTTAATTTAACCCGTTTGCATTGTGTGATTTTCTAATGAAAAATATTTCCTGTTAAAAGCATTACTTTGCATTCTAAAAAAGGAAAACCTAGTTGTTTCTAAAATATCTAAAGGCTTTGTTTTGATTTCGGATTTTTTTTCCTTCACAAAATCTTGTTGAACTAGGAACTTGCCCTGCTTCATAAACAGTTGTGATACATCAATATTTTCTGATTTCCTAGAAACTCCCTGATCCATTCCAGGAACGACACAGTACTCAATTACACACCTACATAGTGATTTTTCTACAGGATTCTACCTATATTCAATTCACTGGCATTGGTATTTTGCTTATCGTTTATCATTTGGTGTATTTAATATTTTGCTTATCTTTATCATTTGGTGTAGCTTTACAAATGTCAGTTTATCCCCATCGTGATTTCTCTCTCTGTCAAATCCTGTCTGTGCATGACATGTTTGTATGTCATTACAAGACTAGAGACTTTATCATATGTCATTACAAGGCTAAAGACTTTATCAAGACATGATGGGACCAAAGATAACCTATTATTTCATGCTTTTTTAACAACTGATTTTGCACCCTTGTGCTATTATGAAAAGCATGTAGTGTAATTTCCTAGTTTCTTTAAGGGCATCTGCATAGGGAGTTCAGGAAAGAGACAATCTGGCACAAATCTAAGACTGCCATTAGCTCAGGAAAGGAGTACAGCTAATTAATTAGGCACTATGCCCAAGCTAATAGGGCTTACGTTTTGGATGGACTTCACCTCACCTAAATGCAGCTGTCTAGAAGCTAGGAGTCTCATCTAAGATACTCTTCTAGGCTTCTCACTCAGGAGCAGAAACAGACATCTCCAGAGAGTGACAACTCCTATGTTTTAGGCATGTGTCATAGTATGAAAGGGGTCACCTTTTGCCTTTCTCTCCCTTGATGATGGCTGGAATCTAGGTGACTTGCCATATTCGACTTGGATACAGCATCTTGGACTAGATGTTTAATTTTAAGATGGCAACAGAACACAACATCCACTGGATAGAGGGCTGTACAGGACTGTACTGATTTGACTGCTTGCCTCTACTCCTGAGCTAGTGTGGTTTCCTAGCTTAGACACCTTTGCTCTGCGATCCCTAACTCCAAGGGCAAGAGAGACATGAAAACTAAGGGAATTAAGAAATTCTCGTGGCATTACATCAATATCTGTTAAAATCTTTAGCAGGGCTGAAACTTTTAAATATGAGCCTGCCCTTCTGCTGTTGGAGTTGGGGAAAGAGGCTGGAATACAGGTTGTCGTCCTTTTGGTGGAGCAGGCCTGGCATAGATGTGACATGCAAGGAATTTAGTTTCAGTGCAAGTCTCTGCTTAGCATGTGCCAGCTAAGCATGATCCTTCCCCTGCTGTTAACTAGCTCAGTCTAGGCAAATGGTTACTTTCACTGGAATGACAAATACATATTCTTAATGTAAAAAAGATTATTTTGCCAAAATTTTAGGTTCTGCCACACAGCAGAGGTCACAGAGAAAAAGCCATTGCTTTATTTGTTTGCCAGGGACAAAAGTAGCATTCTTAGAAATGGCCAAGTTATTGAAAAGGAAAATATGGATTGAGACTTCCATGAAAAGTTTCAGTTTGAATGGTTAAAATTTGAAAAAAAACCAGTTTACTACAGAAAATGGGGTTGTATAATGGACTTTTAGGGTAGTCTTAATAGCGGTACTCCATAATGCGTGTTATATTCAGGGAATCTCTTGGCAGTGGTCACTTTTTGAAATCAGACTCCATTAAGCCTGTTTATAATAACCTAGTTGGTAAAATCTGGCCCACTGTGGTAAGCAGGGCAATTCAGTGCAGGCAGAGCTTTGTCAATAGCTCTCAGAGTCAGCCTGTTTTGCTCTCTCCCTGAGCCTTACCCTTTTCTCCACCAGCTACTCTGTTCCTTCTTGTGGCTTCCCCGCATTCTTTCCTTTCCATAGGCTCTGCCTAGCTGCTGTTGTTGCCACAGACCCGCTGCTGGATCAGCATTGGGATGGGAAGACAAAGCAACTGTTTTCATGCTTCCATTCAATGTTTTCATGCTTCAGTTCTTGAAACTCTTCCTTAACTTCTCCACAGGCTCATTTGGTGATTTTCATACAGGGAATGCCCATCAGGAAACAGTATAGCTTGAATTTTATTTATTTGTCTGTGTATCATCCTTTCACTTAAATGTATTTTAAAAGACTAAACACTTGATAAGCTCTTTACATGTCTTTATAATGCACATGCTTATTTCCCCATATATTCATAGTTCGCCTGTAGGTTATCTCCCTCTTTCCTTAAGTAGTCTTTATAAGCCCATTAAAATGTTATTCTGCCTACTTGACTGAAGGCCTAGAGTCCTGGTGATGTCTTAAAGTTGCTGGATTATCTGATCAGGGACACATGCATGTCAGTTTTCTGTAGCTCTCCAGCCTTAAATTAATTCAATAGTTTTTCTGCCTGTGATGTAAATCTCATGCAGTGGAGTTCAGTGAAATGTGGGCTCCAGAAGTGCTATTGATTTAAGCAAGAACTGGCAATTTGAGTTCTGGTTGAGCTTCCAGACTAAAATGCATGCTCCATTATGACCCTGTTGTAAACAGTTTGGGGCATGGAATATGTCTTCATCTGTGATTTGTAAAACACTGTTTAATAAGTAAGAGATTTTTTAAATTTGCACTCATTTTTAGCTGGGACTAAGTGAAGTACTTCTTGTATTTGTAGTAGCAGTGGGAAGATGACAGCCAAAACAAATAAACCAGAAGACTGTTCCATGATGGATTGTCCTGGACAACATTTTCCAAAAGTGTTACGCGGTCATTGGCCTTTGTGTGTCATGAAACTCCTGTCATGAGCCTCCCGCCAAGAAATGCTTGCTCTCACCAGAAGACTTGATGCCAAAAGAAAGAGCCAAATGTCAAGCAAAGTGAAATGACAGGCCTCAAAATAACTATGATACTTAGCCCTACATGGAATCATACATCTTCCAAATTCTGTTGAGCCTTACCTGCTTGTAGGTAGCCACACCTTTAGCAGGTCTGTACCTGCTGTTGGCGCTATTTCCTAGGTGGGAGAGCTGGAAAACATTAGATGTTCTCAAGAACATTAATGCCGGTGCAGTATGACACACAAGTTACAAGTGTGGGTGAACTAATACAGATAATGGTCTGGAGAGCACGCTAACAGGATAGCATGGAGATGACAAAAGGGACACTGGCTTTGTTATTGCAAAGGAGGTATTGAGTGGCAGTAAATATGCCTGAGCAATACCAGCAGCTCCTGGCACTGCTGGTTTGGAAGGGAAGGAAGCAAACTCAGGACCAGGAATGGGTCTATCAGTTTAGTTTTTCCTTCTTGCTCTTACAGACTTTCCCAGGACATTGATCATGGGCATTAAGTAGCATTAACAACATTTTTTTGAGTGAGAGAAGCACTATCCAGCTAGAGGACTGAGACACCAGTGGGTTTTGAATCCAATGGGAATTGACTGAGCAGAGGCCCCATCACAAGAGACCCATTCATTACTGAAAGATAGGCTGTTCTTCCCCCAGTTTCAAGAAGAGCAAATGAAATGTCATGAATCAGCATGCTAACAGGATGGCCCTGCATTGCTGTAAAAATAACCAGTCCATCTATTTTCAGACATAACTTTTTACATTTGCACATACAAGACAGCACTATATTTTTTCAGGTCCCAAGCATGCCCCTTTACAGATGGAAACACCTGTTTGTTTTGGCAAACGTCTTTGCCGACATCAGACAACTGGGCATTAAGCAGCTGGAGCGGCTCCTTGCCTTTATGACCCAGGAGGACTATTCTTATCAGGGCTGCTCCCCACAATCCCTTTTGGACCTATAAGGAAAAAATGTCATAATTGCTCAGAAGCTGTGTTGGAGCACCACGCTCTTACTGCTAGAAGTGGCTCCTCTGGTGAGAGGAGATGCAGAGCAGTTGAAGGGAGCCTGAGGAAATCCAGGGTAAAAGACTAAAGACTAAAAGGAAACACATTTGGCCTCAAAAATGTCATTTTTAAATCCCTAAGCTGGAGATGTTGCTTGAAAAATG